AATTTTTTGGTGCTTGGTTGGTGGTGGTCTGAATGGAGTTAGGTTTGCTAAGGATGGGTGGGGTTGCAAATAAGAGAAGGTCGGGGAAGGTGGGGGTGGGGTGGGGGGTTGTGGGGAGGTGAGGGTGGGATGGGTTTTTGGATGGGAGGGGAGGTGAAGAGAGTGGATGAGAGGGAGGTGGTTGGGATGCTTGGGAGGGAGAAGAGGGGTGGGGAGGGGTTGCGGGGGTGGATGTTTCTAGGTTGCTTGCGGTGCAGGGGCGGGGGGGGGGGAAGGGGAAGGCTTCGGGGTTTGTTGGGGCGGGGTATGTGGGTTTGTATGCAAGGGTGGGGGTGCGGGGATCAGTGCTAGCTTTTTTTTTTTTTTTTTTTTAAATTCAGGTTTTTTTTTTTAAAAAAAAATTGTCACGTGGCACACATTTGGCAGCCACGTCAGCACTTAACGGATCTAACAGAGGTATTATTTTGAAATAAAATAGCATTTAAGGTATGAAAGTGAAATGTTTTGAAGATATTGTAAGGAATTGAAATAGACTCAAACCTGAGGTATGAAAGTGTAATTTACCCTTCTTTTTTTTTTTGGGAGAAAATTCAGGTTTTAAAAAAAAAAAATTTGCCACGTGGTAGACATTTGGCAGCCACGTCAGCATTTAACGGATTAATGGATGGAAAATGTAACGGATGTATTATTTTGAAATAAAATAGTACTTAAAGTATGAAAATGAAATGTTTTGAAGATGTTGTAAGGAATTGAAATAGACCCCAAACCCAAAATATAAAAGTGTAATTTACCCAAATTGTATTTGTTGTGGTAGTACCTAATGGGCCGCCGGACTCATTAGGACCAGTGGCAATTTTGAAAAATAACCAACTCTGATTTCTAAATTGTATTTCTTCCCGGCGCTCCTTACGCGTACTGTCGCCTGAGGGCGCGGCGCTCTTGATTGATTCCGTGGTCTGATCTTCCGCGAATCGCAATCTGACGGTGGCGATGGCATCGCCGCAGAACCAATCGGCGAATGTGGATCTCTTCGATGGGTATTTCCGACGGGCCGATTTGGACCGCGATGGCCGGATTAGTGGCAATGAAGCCGTCGCTTTCTTCCAGGGCTCTCGTCACCCAAACAGGTCCTTGCGCAGGTACTCTCTCTCTCTCTCTCTATATATATATATGTATATGCATATGCTTGTGTATATATGTATAATTGGATGTGTGTGTATGATTATATTTGTGTTCCGAATCAGATTGATTTTGAATTTTTAGTCTAATTTTGAAGTGGTAAATGTGAGCTCGGGATGTCTTAATTCTCTTATCTAAGCTGAGATTTTTTATTTCGTGTTAGTATAAATGTGGAATTGATTTTCAAATGGTAGAAAATAAGTAGATGAAGAATTTATACTACAGTTAGTGAGGTGGTAAGCAGACTTTAGAAATGTGTTATATGACCCAAGGATTGGTCGAGGATTGTTTATTACATTAGAATTGTGCAGTAGTGAAAACCGGCAGCATAAGATGACTATGGAGTAGTTAGGATTGTCGCGTACAGGGGAAATGTTCTTGGGTCAGGATCATATCGACAAATAGGTTCTTGAAGTTGTATACTTGTTTTGCTGAAGGAGTTTCCGTATAAAATGAAAACCAGGGGAATATTATGTTAAATATTGATTATATGAATGCCCTTTCTCATTAGCTTGAATTGCTGAACATAACAGGCTCAATCAAGCACATTTTTCTGCGAGATGCTGTGCTGATGGGTGTTCATTCTTTGCATGATGTGTTCGTATTTTGATGTAAAAACTTACATATGCCATAGATATTTTGTACATATAAAATTTAATTTGTGATTGGGAGTAATCTTTTGCTGGCCAATTGACATATGAACATCCATAAATATATGCTATTAAATTGAGTCATGTCTAAATGTGCAGTCTAGATTGATAGAGTGACTACCCATCATGCCACATTATCTTTGATGGAGCGGTTTAGGGAGGGACGCCCTCTTCCAGCAGTGCTACCAAGCAATGTTATGTTTGATTTATCCAATATTTTTCAACCTGCAAATAATTACTCCAATGCTGGCAATGTAGCCTGGAGACCTGCTTCTTGTATTCAACCATAAAACAAATCACTTTTATATTTTGAAACATGTCTTTCTTTGATAGAGAATAGTTTCTTATTTTTCACTTTAAAAGGCTTCAACAACAGCAACTGATGCCTGGTCTTGGTGCTCGGCACATGGCACCGAAGACAGTTGCTCCAATTAGCGGAAACCCAGAGTACCAGAATTGGAGAAACATCTTGTAGATCAATCTTGTAGATCAACTGAGTACAGAGGAGGTTAACTCACTGAACTCAGTTCAAAGAAGCAACTGAAGCTGATAAAAAGGTACTTAGAACTTTAATGTTTCCCCAATTTTCTCATCTTGAGCAGCAAAGTTATGTGTGCATGTTACTTCCTGATAAGTGTCAAATCGTAACAAATATCCCAGAGACTTGGGGAAAGAAATCTTGGATGCTAGAGAGAAAATTGAATATTTCCGGTTCAAAATGCAGTTCAGCCATCGAACTTGTAATGTATCTTTTGTATTTCATTTCTTTGTGTATGCATCTCGCTTTTTCTTCATTCTTTTCTTCCTTTAGCTTGTAGCGCGACGTATAATTTTTCTCCTTAATTTTGGAATGTTCAGTCCTATTGAAGCAAAGAGCCCTATAATTTTATCGTTGTTACAAATTCGATGATTGTATTATTAAACTGGGGCTGTGCCTTTCTTTTTTCAGCCTTAATTTGCTGTAATTTTTTACCCTCTCTAATAAAATTTGTTTCGCTGATCTTTGTTTGGTGCAAACAAGAACACTGAGTTTTGCCGTTGTTAGTCCAATGGGGCCATTCATATTTTTTGCTCATTGCAGTTCAGCCATTGAACAATCGCATATTTTTGTCGTTGAATGTTCAAACTATCGCGCTTGGTTGTGAGATTTTTACTTTGCCCTGGCATGGTGTGTTAATTAATGTCTGTTTGTGATATAAAGGTAAATCAAGTTTTAAGGATAACAAATAGGCCATTATACGCTTGTCCATAACTAGTGCTTTATAATGTATAATTAATGTCTTAATTCTTGGTCAGACAAGCGAGCTATCAAAGTACAAATTTGCCTTAAAAAGTTTTTCCTAATCACTTTCATTTGCTTCAGACTCATCACTTGATCCACTAACTTGAGGTTCATCTCATGATCCACCACCTTTGGAATCAACATCTTGTCTTGTTTCTTCTACTTTTGGTCCCCTCGACATGAACACGTGACCAAATTTGAATTTCTCAGCATCTTCGGCATACAATGGGCATATACCACAGCTTTCCACCTTCATATGGGAAGCAAAATCCTGCGGGTAGAAGACAACAGAGGCCTCTTTGGCAAGTTTGTAAACATCAGGGGAGCAGTTTTTTCCTACCTCTTCACTTCTAAAGGCCTCATTCCACACAAGCACGTGCTGTTGACCGTCACAGTCGTAGTTGTAGCTATTGCATGGGATAATGTACTGAGAATTGAACAGTTCATGGCTTTCACCCCTGAATTTGACAATGAAATTAGCTCTTAACCTTATGAAGTAATCCTGGCACGGTGAAACAACAACAGAGAGAGCGAAACCAAATAAACCTGTTCGAAACCAATCTGGACAAAGCTCGATGTCTACCGAAGATCCCTCATTTTGATAGCTGAACCAATTTGGAATTTCTTTTCCTGGACATGCAATGTTAATCTGAGGCCAGGGATTACAAGGCAACCAATAGTCCTCTAATGGCGCAACAGTTGCCATTCGCATAATTGTAATCTGTGCTTCATCCATTATGTTGCTCCTTGAATTATTATCCAATTTGGGCAATTACGAAAAACTCTGAAACAATAATGAGGTTTATCCCAACCTTGTGTGAGTGCTGTCCTTGAACTTGACACTATCTTCAGAGACGCGCAGGCTTCAGCTTTAACATTACATAGCACTGGGAGCTCTGGTATAGATACAAGCCGCTCGCAGCCTTCTAAGCCGAGTATAGACAATCGAGAAGCCTTTTTGATGCCTACTGGTATTAGGTATATACCGCTGTAGCTGAGTTCTAGTTCTTCTAAAGAGAGAAAACTGACAGGGCTGAAAGGCAATTTTTCAAGTCTCCGACAAAATTTAAAGTCGAGACGTTTAAGATTGGTTAAACTGTAGATACTTGTTGGGACATCCTTAAGTTGCATGCAGCGACTAAGGTTTAAATCTTGAAGCCTATTTAGATTTCCAATAGACGAAGGAAGCATTTCGACACCTGTGAATTCCAAACTAAGATACACCAAATGTTCCATTGGCTTGAAGATTTCAGGGAATTTGGAAAATCTAGAGCACCTGGTGAGATCAAGACTCTCAAGATATTTCAACTTACAGATTGATGAGGATAGCTCTGTAACTGCTGTTCCCCTTAAACTTAAGGACTTCAACTGTTCCATTGGCTCCCAAATCTCTGGGAGGTTTTCAACGTTATAGCACGAATAGAGATCGAGTTTCTCGAGATTTTTCAACTTACACCAGCTACTTGGAAGTTTCTTAAGGTCTTTGCATTGCCTTAAATTCAAGTAAGAAATATTTTCGTTAGACCAAACTGATTCAGGCAACTCCTTTATACCACTGCATTCTAAATTCAAGTATTGAATATTTCCTGGCATTTCTGGAAGATACTTGAGACTGCTGCAGTCTTTAAGATCAAGACGAGTAAGCTTGTCAAGATGTTGAAAATATGAAGGAATTTCAACCAAACTTCGACAGTTCCCAAGATTTATGTCCACAATTTTTGGACTCCCAGAGAGATTTGGAACTTCAGTTAGATTTGAACAGCCCCACAGATCAATCACTTGTAAGTTGACAAGTATCTGCAACAAATGAAATAGAAATATAAAGAATTAATATAATTTCTACACTTGATTATATAAAAGAAATAAAATAGGCATATAATATAATATACCTGCTCTTCTTTCCAAAGCTCCTTCTCAACTGTGCTATATGGCATATGAAGCTCAACTAGATTTTCTGGAGAAAAAGTTGATGGCAAAGAATCCAGTGGATATCCCGACCACTCAAGATAACAAAGAGAATCGGGAAGGTCTAAAGAAGTGGTCAATTTGTAGCAACCATTCACAATTAGCATTATTAGGTTAGACATCTTTTTGAAGTCTGCACGTTTCAACGGTCGCTCTTGAAGATTATTCCAATCAACCTCTATAGCTTCAACATTTGGAGTTTCCTGAGAATAAGAAGAAAGTTTAAATGTGAATATAAACATAGTAAAATGAAACGCACATTTGGAACAAAGAGTATTTGCGATGGTAATCATGTACAAGTGTCTTAGTCTAGTCAAATATCCAACATAATTGTATCCTCCTCTACTTGTCTAAATAAACAAACATTTGTTCATATTGCAAACACTTCCTAACACAATAAATATTCAATCAAATTCATCTTTTAACAATCTCACTTCTTTATTATAAATTAGTTTTACTTTGTTGTGTTATCATCTCAAGTTTGTAATTTTTATTTTCTAAAAAAAAAAAAAAACAAAAGAAAAAAATTGAATGCATTTGGCTCTTACCGTGTTACTCCTCAATACACGATAGACATCCTCATCATTGAACAACCTACTCCGTTTACCGGGATCTTTAATACCTTGTTCTTGAACAATTTTCCTTCCCATTTCTTGTAGCAAATCGTGCATCTCTATGGTTTCCATTCTCCCTTTTGAATCAATTGATATGAGAGACATCTCAATGAGAATTCTAATTCCAGATGGCGCAAAGAATCCACGAACATCTAACATTTGTTTCACCTTAACCACAGACTTCCCTTTATGAAAACATGCTATATCCAGCAATATCTCCTTCTCATTTTCTCCCAATCTATCGTAACTTATTCTCAACACTTTCTGAATATCTACATTGGGAAATCGTTTCAATTTGTTGAATTCATCCTCCCAATCTTCTTTGCTCTTGCAATTGAAGAACAAGGACCCCAAAACTGTAAGAGCTAAAGGAACGCCTCTGGCATAATGCACAACCTTTTCTGCCGACTCCTTATAATCTGTTCTACGAGTACTGTTATTCTTGAAAGCACGTGAACAGAAGAGCTGAAGAGCGTCATCCGGTTGTAATCCGTCAACCTTGTAGATATTATCCTCTTGAACAGTTTGCCCAAGTTTGCCCCTATCTCTAGTTGTGATAATGATTCTACTTCCGGTGCCAAACCGGAGAGGACTGCCAGCTAAACGTTCCAATTGCATAGAATCACTCACATCATCAAGAACAATGAGGACCTTTGTACGCCTGAGCCTTTCTTGAAAAGTTGATTCTACGGGCAAAGAAACTTCTTCCTTTAATATCTCCTTAAAAAGTGTTTTTACCAAGTGATCTAGTCCATCTGGTTTTTCTGAGTTCTCCCTAACATTCTTAAGAAAACAAGAAGCATCGAATTTAGAAGAGAGTTTGCGAAACAGAGTTTCAGCAAGGGTGGTCTTGCCAACACCACCCATTCCCCAAATACCTACAGTGATGCAAGCGTCTTGTGAATGAATGCCCAATAGCTTTTCAATTTGCTTGATGCGGCTTTCAATTCCAAACAGGCCCTCTAAATTACATGATGATTCACCAATCAATTTGGTGCAAATACAATGGACAACATTCTTTACTAGATCTGCCTCCGTCCTGGCATATATATGTATGATTATGTAGAAAAAAGCAATAGTTAGTCCTAAATATGCTTGAACAAATCTTAGCACAAATCAAACTGTCACAAGTTTACAGAAAATTTATAACTTTAGACAAGTTAAAGGATGAGTTAGTTACCCGGATTTGTTTGAATGATCAAACCCAGATAGATTGGCTGCAGTCGTCAAAGCATCCCTCCACTTGTGCACCTTGTCGATACTGTTAGCGAATCGTTTTTCTAGTTGAGCAAATGCATCTGCATAACTCCCGTGTTGTTTTCGTACATCAGATGGATCGATGTCGTAGAATACGGGTATAACCATCCGGCCTTCTCTGTTGTTGCATTTTAGTATATGCACAAGCTCATCCAAACACCATGTGGAAGAAGCATAGTTTTGTGAGAAAATGATCACCGAAATGGTGGATTTCTCAATTGCTTCTAGAAGGGCAGGTCCGATTTCTTCTCCTCTCTGAAGTCTATTATCGATGTAGGTTTCAAATTTCTTCTGAAGTAAGGCAGCATGAAGATGGCTGGTAATACCAAGGCGGGTGTCCCCACCTCTGAAACTGATAAACACATCATACTTTTCTCGACGTGGGGGGTTATCAGCGTCGTCATCATCCTTAACAGCAGTAGAATCAGCAGCAGAATCAGCTACATCAGAATCAGCTGCAGGAGACGAAGAAGAAAATGATCTGCAGCACATATAGAACAGAGTCCCGATGGCGATGACGATGATGTTGAAAGCTTGAATGAAGGCAATCAACTCCATCTCTCTATTAGGTAGGTGCACAAAGTTACAAACGCTTCAGGAGGACAAAAATTGAAAATATGGAGAGACAAGGATTAGTCACTTTCACATACTTAAAAAATATTTGATAATTGATAAGGCTAAACTAACCAACGCTTTCACAAAGTTACAAACGCTTCATGGAGGGCAAAAAATATTTGTCGAAATGGTTTGTATGGTTTTTATACAAACAATATTGGTGGAGGGGAATTAGACCTCAGACTCTGTCCTCAGATGTAATTCATGTTCATGGAAGAAACATAGCGGATGCAATTAACTGAACTGATGTGTCATACAAAAACAATTTGAATAATACTGAAGTACTCACTAGTGAGTATTTTATGTACTCACCCAATTGACACGTGTTTTTTTTTTTTTTTAATAGCCCAAGAAAAATTATTGACATATACATTATATTATACAAGAATAAAACGTGTTAATTTATCATTGGACAAAATTAAGAAGTGACTACACAAATATTGTCCTAACAATTATACTTTGCTTTCACAGTTTCCTAAATATGTTACAAAATGCATGTATAATGACTACATGTCCATTTGGAAGAAGAGGCGGTAGCAATATATATTACCTTGAATTGGCTTTTGGCTACCTGCACAAAGTTTCAAAGGCTCGAAAATCAACGAGTGAGATATGAAAGATGGTGGAAAATGGGGCACATGATACGCACATATTTTATTAAAAAAATCCTATAATTTAAAGAAAGATATTCATATATTTGCAGTCTTAATATGAACAATGTCATCACAGCATGTAAAGGAAGACAATTGATCAAGATGCGAACAAAACAAAGTGACATCCGGTGACAGGTCACCAGCGAAGAAATTAACAGCAGACATAACAAAAATTAATTAGCAAATGAAATGCCAGCATAACATAACAACTAAACTTATTAATTAAAAAGAAATGACAAAAAATATAGATAGAGCCTTAAACAGTATCAATAAACATTAAACACTGACTAACCTCAGAAAGACAATGGCTTGGTTACCAATTTGACAATGGCTTGTTTGTTTTCTCCACCTTCAAAATAAGAAAACTTCACCTTCAGAATAATATATCCAAAACAATTACTTTTTTGTATCATCAGCAGGAGCGGCAGCGGATGACGACGACGAAGAAGAAGAAAAAGGCATATCCATAACCTCTAGTTTTCAGATCCAGGAGTAGTAGTTGCAGAGAGATTAATTGTGTATAGCGAGAAAGACAGACTGGTTCAAAATTAAGGAGGATACAATAAAGCGAGAGAGAGAGTAATTCAGAATTAAGGAGGATCTAATTAAACAGAAAAGAGCCGGAGAGGGAGACTAGTTCAGATTTTTCTTGAATTGGCTTTTAACTAGATGCACAGAGTTCCAAAGGCTCTTCTGGAAAAGCCATGAGCAAGAGATGACCAGTTACTAAAGCATACAAAGAGGCACATGGGATGGGGCCCTCCCTTTACGCGCTTTGCGCACGCGGCTTTGAATTTTCCTTGATTAGTATGTCACCAATTCCTTTCAAGAAATTTCCAAACAATTTTCAAGGAGTTTCAATTGTGGACATTTCTATAATTTCCAAAAGAAAATATGTGAATTCCACACTACAAAATCATAGAGGGCTGAGAATATAGTTGTTCACTAATGAAAAATCTTTAGAGTCACAGACTCATTTTATTTGATTTCACCATAAGATATTACACAATCGTTACAACTATCAATCTCTCTACCATATTATAGTCAAATCAAACTAACTAAATCTTAATAGTTAAAAAAAACACTAATGAAAAATACTTCAAAACTTTGAATTTTAACCAAATTACCTCACACGCAGCATATCTGTCTATAATTATTCTGCAGTTGTTTTATACATGCACGACCTCGTTTCTTGGAAGATTGTGTATTTATTCATATTGGTTTAGTCACTGGAATTTTTTATATTTTTTTGGACAAATAGTCACTGGAATTTAATTTGTCTGCTAACCGTGTAGCGTTTGGGTAAAGCCTTGTCAAGGATGCAGACACATGCCTCTGGAAAAGGAAACAACTTAGCTGCTGATGGCCTATCACACGCAGACACATGTCTGAATTTTGATTAAAAAAATTAAATTTGAACACGTGTTCGCGCGTGATTAGTTATCAGTAGCAGCTGCTGATCTTTCAGCAGCAAAGTCTTGTTCTCTAAAAAATACATGGAAAATAGTATTTTCCTAGAAGAATAGTATTTAATGGAAAAGGTATTGTATAGATGGGAGATATTAATGCACCGGACCGTTGGATTGTCTAGCGGTTGGTAATTGAGGAGGAAGATATCTTGAAGCCACAAAAGAAAATGACAAACGCAGTTAGACCATCTCCAATCAAAGAGTTCAGAGGGCCAGAGGGTCGAAAATAGCCCGAAAATCATCTCCAACCGAGGGCTAGGCCAAATGGCTCGTGGGCCCCACTGGATAAAAAATGGCCAAAGGGCCAACCGGCTGACCCAAATGAGTCAACCAGCTAGCCCCGGGCCGGGCCAAAATTTTGAGCATTCCCATCGGATATAACCGACAACATTGTATTTATTCCTGTCGGTTATATCCGGCATGAATGGTAGGCCAAATTTCAACTACGTCAGCTAGCCGTTATTTTTGAAAAAAAGCTAGCCGTTATTTTTGAAAAAAAAAATTCAGTTTTTTTTTTTTTTTTTACAAAATTTTTAAATCTATTTTTTCCCTATAACTTCCTAAGTCATTATACAACATTAAATTAAATTAAGTAACATGAAATAACATTAAACAATATGAAATAAACATTAAATAACATTAACCAACATAAAGATTTGGGAGCTTTAATGAAAAGAGCTCGGGTCAACAAATATTTAACCAAAAACCATCCCAAAATGTTATTTAACCAAAAAGGCTCAAAGTTTAATAAAAAATCATCCAAAACTATTGTTCACGGGCCAAACTTACAAGTCCAACCCGCTACAAATCTACACTTCCGTAAATACCCTAAATGATTCGATGCAAGAGGAAACTGCAGTTCTTCGAGACCACGAACCGCGAAGAGGTTGAAGATATGTTCAGATCGAGCTTTATGATCAACTCTAGTGCCAAAAGGAGCTGCCCATGTACATAAATCAAAGCTGCTTCATGGATTGGTGCCAATTCAATTCAACGGACTACTACTATTACACCTTTTTTCTTATTTATTTTTCACGATTTTTGGTTTCTGGGTTTTATATATGAGGATATGTACGGTCCAAAACGTGGCAATCACGTCCGTATAATTTGTATTACAAGTTCATGGATAGATTCAAGCCTGGTGGGCAAGATTGAATTTCCAGGTTATATATATGAGGGGTACTTGGATGAGTTTTTCAGACAGTTGGATGTAGATTTATATTTGTATTCCTTCATCATCTGTGAGTGTGAATTACTTCAATCATATGAATTATCTTTCCTCCACAACTAGCTAGCTAATTGGTATTCTTTGAATTCTTATTATTTATTCTCTTTGGATGTTGAACATATCTTCAACCTCTTTGCGGTTCGTGGTCTCGAAGAACTGCAGTTTGTTGGAGAATGGTCCACACCAAATTTGTAAATGTAATCATTAAAACATATCGCTTAACTCAAAATTACAAAATTCACAAACCAATAAAAAAAAATATTAACAAATAGAATGTTAAGTTACATATGTTGCTCAAGCTAAGAACGTAATCTATAAACTCGTTTCTCACAAACAGCGTCAAACTGTTCCTACTTCAGAAAAGTACTCCGCACCTAAAGTTCATCAAGAATTTGCTATTTTTCAAGGGTAGAGTGCAGTGGAAAACAATCAAACATCACTCATCATTCATCAATTACCATAATTCAAAGTACTTGAGATTAGCAGGCAAAGAAATTAACTGAAAAAGGAAACTTTGCATGGAAGGACCTGCTCGAAAATCAAGTTTCATGTCTCAGAATAGAAAGTTTCACTGAGCTTTGACAGCAACGAAGGCAGCCATGCCCAGTTCCAACAAATCGACAAAAATGGCAGAATTCATAAGAACCACCAGTCCTGATGAATTACATAATCTGTTCCTCTGCGATCGTCTCTACCGTACGGTATCAGATATAGTGTAAAAACTAAAAAGGTTTGTACTTGTGGTAGGTTTTTTTTTTCTATATATGGGGCTGGTGCATTGCTGCAAAGATAGGAAAAGAGATAGAGAGGAAGATAAAGCTCTTGTCCTTGTTGGAATTTAGATTATTATTAGTTATCTTGCGGGCCAAGGATTAGTTACTTGCCCATTAAGTTTTTGTTTTAGTCTAGGGTTTGCTTTAGTCTTTCTCTATATAAAGACCTCTTTGTATTTGATATTTTTAATCAAGTTAGTCACAATGTAGCCTCTTAAGGTGTATTTGTTACACCTCCTTAGAAGAGACTAGCAGGGATTGGCTTAACTAGGACTATAGTCCCGCGTTTGGCATGGTCTTGGATTAGAGTTAATGGGACTCGCCTCGACTACGAGGCGCCCCGCACTTCACTAAACCTCAATATCTAGTCCCACCGTTTCACTTGGTATTAAGCAAGACTAACAAAGAAACGAACCGACGACCTCAGCCCACCCTTTCTCTGCATGCGTTTCTCTCTCTCTCATCACAAATCCATGTGATGCAGCCATTCCTCTGCAGCCCACAAAATTGATTCCCACCACTCTTGCGGTGCAACCTTTCCTCCGCCGGTGGGAAACGGCGGTTACAATGCCATTTTTTTTTTCTGGGAAGCGTTGTTGATGGTGTTGGGTGTGTGGCAGCTTACAAAACTGGGTATTTCTGGGTCTCTCTCTTTCGGGTCTGGTTATTTCTGGGTCGATTGGGTCTTCGAAAATCTATTGTCGCAGACTAGTGAGTTGCTGCGGTAGGGAAGCAATTGAATCGCTTTAATAGATAAACAATTGAATTGGGATAGAACATCTGGGTATTTCTTTATTGTTGGTGTTGGTGAGTTGTTGCGATAGGAAATTAAAAAAAATTGCTGGCAATTGAATTGGTAGACGAAGCATCTGGGTCCTTCTTGTATAGAGAATAGAGAAGCAATTTAATTAGGTTTTTTTAATTTAAAATAACTACAAAATAACATTTTATAATATAAAATTTAATATTTTTTCATGTCTAGCTTGTTAGTCCGGCGTCATACCAAACACTTCACTATTTTTAGTCCTACTTAGTCTAAGCCAAGCCAGTTCAGCTTAGTTCCTGAAGTTAGTCCAGTGCAACAAACGCTCCCTTAGGGTTTTGTAGCCATTTCGGCATTCTCATTAGTTTAATAATATTCTTTTTATTTTGTAATCTTGTTCGTTGATATTCAAACTTGGTATCAGAGCCTTTAGGATTTAATTTGCTTCTGTTCAGTATCAATTTGTCCGTCTCTGCCGTGGATCATTGCCGCTGTTTCTTACCCGCAATCTGCACAAGACCACCACGAATCTGCATCAGTCACTGCATCATGCCAGATCCAGATTGGCCACCAACCTGCACCCAGTTCCATCTCCATGGATTCCATCGCTGCTGCATCGTCGCCGCACCACCAAGTCTCGCCTGCTTGAAACACCGCGCCACCATCTACTCAACCTACTGCTGCTGCGTCCGGACCCGCACCACCCCGCCGACCAAACCCACCTGATCAGTTCCGTCCAGAACCTGCACTGCGCACCCTCTGCACCATCCCCGCGGTCCGTATTCGTCCCTAACGAAGCCCAGATCCAAGAACCACTCGGATCAAGTTCGCCTGCATCTGTTTCTATTTCGCACCACACACCCGCTGCCTTAGAACCACTCTTTTGTGCTGTTTGTTCGCACCGCCGCGACACCAATGCGCCACAGACCTCCAGTTTGATTTTGCATTGTCTGCCCAGAAAGAAAGGTTGTTTGTTGCTCGCATGCTTGTTTGTTCGTTCGTTTGTTTGCTCGCTTGTTCGCCTTGTCTTGTCTTGTCCGCCTAACGGAACTTGCATCTGCATCTACTTGTTGGCAAACTCATGTATGTGTTCCGCCATGAGTTTGATGGGGGTGTTGGAATTTAGATTATTATTAGTTATCTTGCGGGCCAAGTATTAGTTACTTGCCCATTAAGTTTTTTGTTTTAGTCTAGGGTTTGCTTTAATCTTTCTCTATATAAAGACCTCTTTGTATTTGATATTTTTAATCAAGTTCGTCACAATGTAGCCTCTTAGGGTTTTGTAGCCGTTTCAGCATTCTCATTACTTTAATAATATTTCTTTTATTTTGTAATCTTGTTCGTTGCGCACTCTGATATTTAACTATTCTGAGGTTATTGCTCAATAAATATGACCCCCAAATTCCCAAACCGTATCAAACATGTATATGGTGAGATCTTGGAAAGCTGCTTTTCATCACAACTTTTGTTTTTTACCA